GCCGGTTTCTTCTGTGGCTTTAAGCATTTCTGCTGTTATCATATCTGGACCTGGTGCTTTGTTATATTTGAGCTTGTTGATAGCCTGTCTTACTTCATTTTCGAGTATATCAGGTTCTTCTTCCACCTCGTCAGAGATTTGGCTAACAAGCTCTTGGCGTTGATCATCTTTATATAGGTCCCTGCAATACGATCTCCATGTCTCTGCTATGTCTTCTCTGTTTGTTCTCAGGGTTCCAGTGTTATCTTCAATGGCCCAAGTTGTGGCTCTGAAGTCTCTTCTCAGGTAGCGTATTTTTCTAAATAAATCTCTCTAGATTTAATTGTTTTTATTACTATCCTTTGTTCTTGAACGTGAAATTTGCTGCCAGGGAAAAAACCGTTGCAAATTTAGATGTTTTATATATCACAAGCTTTTGAACTTTAACGCCGTTACAACGTCCTTAATAAGCTTTATATAATACTAGATAATAATGTAAGAAAATTTTTGGGACAAACCCGATGTACCAAGTCACCTAGGAATCGAACACAGAAAGAGTCCCACAGGTCAATCTTTGATAAGGTGGGTGTCTGGGATGAGTGAATTTTCCCCTACGAGGGAGTGCGAGCTGTATAGCTAAATTTGGATTTTCTTCAGTAAACGAAATTTAAAGGAAATATGAAGTTAATTTGTTTATAAAGCTATAGCTCGTAAAACTATTTGAGTACAGTGTCACAAGTTTAGCATAAATGAACTACATATATTGAAAAATATTCCCGTGGAATCTTAACATAGTACGTGAACAGCATAGTTGGTCCCTTAATTATAAATGATATGTACAACAGATATTGTATTTGTAACTCATTCAAATTGAACGCGGTAAGCTTTGTTTTGTAGGTCTTTTAAAAGCGATTAAAATAAGTTTTTGACATTTTTTTGTAAAACAAACAGTGGAGAAAATATGCGAAGAAAAATTGTAAAAAAATAATACTACAAATAAACAATGTCTCCAAAATTTTTTAGACTTCGAGTACTTACCAACGTGTTCTACATAATTTTATCTAAAAAATTACTTAAAATCATCTAACTCCTAAAAATGTCATCAAAAACGACGATTTTGAAGCTCTTCCCACTGGTTAAAAAAGCTATTATAGATTCACACAAAAGTTGTGTATTTTCAACTCTAAATTTCTAATTTAATTAATTATTCTAATTTTATATCTATATCCATAATAGTTCTAATATAATTTCAAAATGTTTATTTAAATAAAAATAAAGGGTTCCAGTTGAAAATTCAAAGTTGCTACACCCACCGCGTTCGCAGGGAGAATAAGAACACCTGGTATTGCATAAGTATGTAGATTTTGAAAAACCATAAAAAAAAAATTCTTAAGTTTCTTCGATACGACGTTCTAGTTCTCGATATATTTGACAATTGCCTTTCTGGACAGAGCTCTTTAATAATGTAAATAATATTATTCAAAACCGGAAATAAGCCGAAGCGAGGGAGAGGTCTGACTGTAAAATTCATTTGCGATGTTGCCAAATTTACCGGATCTCGGGTTGTCTACAAAATGTATATTTAGCATATACACAACGGATCGCTCGCACTGCCTCTACAGCGGATTTAGTGGAACTACTGCAATATAAAATTCACCAAAAGGGGTGCAAAATGAGGTCCAGGACAAAAATCGATTTCTTGTTACCCCCATCATTGTTACGTCGAGATATCACTATATACACGTGAATACAAGGTGAGATCCAAAATCGGATCTCGCCTTGCAAAACGGATCTCACCTTGTATAGCTTATGATACAAACGGATCTCGCCTTGATATGAAGACATATATATATATATATATATATATATATATATAATATATATAAAATAAATGTATATTATCAGGCTTTTTGGTCAGAAAATAAAAACGATTTTTTCTCGTAAACTCAATATTTCGCCATTTGGTTTATGGCTTTTTCAAGAGCGCACATTCAATGATAGAATAAAAAAAATAACATAACGTAAAAGAACTTACAGATGTAATCGTTCAAACAGCGTAGCACAAACAACATCTTGTTGAGTGACAGACTAAAATATATTAAAACACAAACACATCTTCATGAGTGCCAAACTAAAATTCAACTAAAATATTGTAATATTATTTTTGTTTAATTGTCCTACAATTTAATCAGTGACGTGCAGAAACTAATATATTTTTATGAATTAAAAAGATTTTAAGATGTTACAATAAATGGAATCAAGTCCGTTAGCGTCTGTTTTGTTGTTAATAGTAATAATCTGTCCTGCTTATATTGCACATTTCGAGAAACAGCCTATTTTTGTAATTTGAGACTGATTGTATTATTTTTACATTATCAAAATCAAATTCATGACCTGTCTTGATGGAATGTTCGACAACAGCGCATGTATTTTCTCCCCTTCTGCAATCACTTCTGTGTTGAGTGACCCGTTGTTTCAACCATTGTCCGGTTTGACCAATGTAGCATCCCTGGCATCCTAAACATTGCAATTTGTAAATAACGTTACTATTGTACATGGTTGGTGTATGATCTTTGGTTTTAGAAAATAAGTTGTTGCATTTAAAATTGCTGTATTTACTAATTGTTGTATTGGTGTAGCTCTTAAATATTGATGTTAGTTGATTTGTATAGACCAGGGATATATGGTAGTTTTTTATATCTCAGGTCTCAGTTCTTTTATATCAGGTATTTTATTTCCATTACTTGGTCAATACTGATGCCGTCAATCTATTTTACATCTGGTTGGTTCTTTGCTGACTACTATTGTTTTAGTTTTCTAAAATGAGATTTTCATATTAAATTCTTTTACACTTATGGTAAATCTGTGGACCAGTCTTTGTAGACTACCTCTATGTTGGGTATGAATATTGCGTCATCTGCGTAACAGAGTATTTTTATTTCTTTGTTTGCCATTCGGTATCCTCTTCCTTTGTTAACGCTTTGTGATTTATTTTTATCCATGATTATATTAAAGAGCATGGAGCTCAATGAATCTCCTTGTCTTATTCCGCTGTCAATTTCTATTGGTTCTGTAAGTTTTTCCATTTATTTTAACTTTCATTTTGTTGTTTTGGTAGATGTTTTTCATATTGTTTAGAATATTTAGGAGAACTTGTCTATTACACAAAAGATGGATTACATATTTGAGTATTACTCTGTCAAATGCTTTTTTTTAGGTAAATCAGACACAGAAATGCTGGTTTATTATTACTCTAAGTGATTTCTTAGTAATTTGCTTTATAACGAATATTGCATATGTACACGATCTTCCACTACGAAAAATCCTCTGATTTATTAGTACAGTCGATTTAATACAAATTTCATTTAAAATTGATTTTGCGCGCAAACTGATGTTCAAAATCACTGGTGGCTGCAAGCGTTGTTTCTGAGAGAACGGTTTATTCTACACAAAAAAGTTTAATTAAACATTTTTTGTTCAAAATTATCTCAGCTATATTTTTTATCTGAAATATTTTTTTCTATGGTATATAGATTTTTAATCGATTTATTTTTCTGTTTTCCACCTTCCTCTGGGCATTTTAGGGAGAAGTCGGAGGTTAAAAGTAGTAAACTTTTTTTGTGAGTCCTAAAATTTACATTCTCAACAAAATTTACCTTATTCTATGATTTTTAGAGGTGAAATATCTGAAGACCGGACTAATTTATAAAATATGGAAGGAATAATTGAGAAATAAAAATTTACTTTGAACCAAAAATAAGCAGTTAATTATATACTTTACTTTCAAGCTAGATAGGTATCAGGATTTTCTATTTGCTAAATAAATCTGTCAAGGATTAGTATCCTCGGAATAAAATGTTAAAATGCGTTACCGAGTATTTTATTTTTTTAAGTTAAAAATAAAACTACCCCAACGACTGAGAACAAATATTAGGTAAAAGAAAATAAAAAAATTAAAAGAAAAACGTCAAAATGTATAGGGTGTCCCATACAAAAAAAAACATAAGTTGGTGTTATATCTATTTAGTGAGACTCCATTAAAAATATTGTGTACGCCACTGAACTCTTGCATGAGATATCTATTAAAAGTTTCAATAAAGTTTTTAAAATTTTTCTATAACCCTGTCGCTTTTGACATTTTTCAACAGTAGTCAACAAATTAAAAAAAAAGTTGCGAATGATGTTAAAATGGCTGTACCGGGGGTTTTAAAGCATCCTGATTGCGAATGTCGAACAGCAAAATTTCTCACCATGTCTATAATTTGAGTTATAGAATGCATCAAATGATGTTTTTTATATAAAAATTCTTATATACTATATATCTATATTATAAAGTCCAGAACTAAAAAAAAAACTATGGTTAATCTTTTGTACACAAATGCTTTGCAGACGCTGATTACCTTTATACTCTGTATAACTTTCTCTCATGAGGTAGTCCCAACAGTAATCTCCCATTATTATAACACAAAATTTGTGTTATAACACTATAACATTATAACACTATTTAATAGTGTGTTATTCGTAGACTTTAGACATCCCAGTGTTGCCAATTATGCACCATTGTTAGAAAAAACGTTAATTTGATAACATTTCGCTTAGATGTATTACAAATAACTTTAAAATTTGTTTTATTAAAATACATAAACAAATTACCATTTTTTTTTTAATTATAACTCATGTTCAGAGAGCCAAAATTAACAAAAAAATACCATCTACATTCGAGTCGCAAACTGGTTGTAAACTAGTGTAATCGCTCTCTAATCTCACTATTGTGGGGAGCAATTATTGATTTAATTGAGCAATCGTTACTGTAACAAACACATAAGTCGTCCTTTTTAATTTTTTTTTCTATCTCTTTAACATACGAATTTGAGGTATAACTTATTTAATACTCATTTAAAATAAAAATCAAAGATTCGTCCCTGTAGACACAAAACAGCCTTTAAATTTTAGGCAGGTAGTAAATTTAATACTTCACAGCATAACGATAACCTTATTAAATCGATCGATTTTATTTTTAGGCAAGGTCTGGCACCCCTTTCAATTACAAATCCTTTTCAAGCGAGTCTGATGGCATCCCTTATGAATTCGATCACCCCTCAGATTCAATAGGAAGATACTCCAATCAACCCATACCTCTTAATCTGCTTCCGTTATCGCCGAATTTTGTGCCGAATTATGATTCCAAATCTGTTGATTCCTACGGAGAGTTGCTCGCTCCCTATGCAAAGGGATACGAGCACATCGTCGACGAGAAGTAAGTAACAATCTTTAGGTTTATGTAAGTATACTTAAAGTTTTAAGAGGTTTAATATTGATCGGATAAACTAAAAGAAAAGTTTCCACATGTAATAGCCTAAAAATAATCCTTATATTTTTCTTATACGGAGCAAAAACAAAAAATAAAATTTTATGAAAAATAATTTTTATCTGGCCTTATACAGTATGATGCAAATGTATGGAATAAATCATGAATGTGTTGCTTGTGTGAGTCCATTTCAAATGGGTAAAGAAATAATAAATAAGACTTACTCACAATCAATTTAATTTAACTATCAGACGACCGGTTTCGCTTTCTACAATGTGCAAAGCATCCTCAGGTCTCGATACAAAGTTAAATAAATGCTGAAATGATAAAAACCCATATTAGGGTGTTGTTAATAAAGATAAACAAAGTAGATGTTGTAAATTACGATAATTATGCCAATATTACATGTCTGTGGTTTTATTTCAAAAAAAGTAAGTTGAATAAAAAGGTATAAAAGGTTTTAAAAGTTTAAACAGACAATGGTAAGGCCTACAAATTGTTATTTTGGCCAAGATTTTTTTAAATACAAACCAAGGTCACGCGACAGCTCATTTAAAAGGTCTCCTTATCGCCTTTGCAACGGTATAATCAATTAAATATTAATTTCTACAGGTTTAACCAAAACTGTTGGTTTATTATTACAATTATTAACTTACAATAAATTTTTACTTAAATACAATTAAATTATAACAAATGTTCAAATTAACGACCTTCATCAATAACATAATGTGAAAGATGAGCAGTAAATTCTTTCCCAACGTTTTCGATAGTTTCATTATTTGTGTAATTTCCGTTATGATGCGCTCCTTCAACTCTTCTACATTATTCGGTCGATTTTGATACACTCTGCCCTTTAAATACCCCCATTAAAAAAGTCTAACGGAGTCAAATATGAAGACGTTGGTGGCCATTCTATGGGCCACCTTACTACCTGAGAAAACACTATTAAGGTAATCTCGTACCTCAACGTCATAGTGTGCGGGAGCCCCCATCATGTTGGCACCAAAATCATTTTTATTTGGAATCAGCTGATTCAGCTGTGGCAACAGACAATCCTGAGAAATAACGCTTCTAGATAACGAGAATTTGGATTGTTTATAAATGCCGCCCCAAACATTCACCTACTGGTGATATTGTATTCTATACTTTTCCATTCAATGTGGATTTTTACTTGCCCAGTGATTCAATTAGAAAAATAACCTATTTGTATGAAACTCTGATCTCTATTACGTTTTTTCCATATCGGTTTCACAGAATTCGATTCTTGTATCAAATCATCTTCTCATAACTTCTGCACCAGATTTACTTTATATAGATGCCACTTTTCCTTGTTTAGCACTCATACAATAGTTGATTGGTGGGCATTATTATCTAGTGCGACCTAGAACTGGTATTGGAATTTTAATGAAACGCCTGTACAACGTTTAAGTTGGTTGCCTACATTTGGCGCAACTCAACGATATAAACTAAATTATCCTAAATTTTTTATAAAATATATTTTGTATATATAATAGAAAATTACTTTCTTTATAGATGCTATAAATTTCTATGCGAATTTGATTTTTGGCGCTATGTCAAATCGAACTGGATGTTAACTTAAATGTTTTTGTTATTAAGAACATTGGTAACATTTACATAATTCGATAAAAATATTATTTTAATGACCAATTTACCTTAACAGGGTTTCATTCGGCAAATAATTTAAAAAATGGTAGTTTTGGATAAACCTTTGTGCAGTTTGATTACCTTGTAATTTAACAGCATCCTTACTCATGTAATAATATTACCTTTTAAAGAACATTTATCATATGTATTTAAGAAAAACCTACCAACGCATTAGCTAGTGAAAAACTTTGACTATCCATAATAATAAAATTCAAAATAGAGCTAACTAATTAACTAAATAGAACTAACAAAGAATTAAACAAAATAATAGAACAATAAAACTATATTACCTAAGATAAACAACGAGAATAATACAAATATGTACCTAAAAATTATGTTTAAGTATTTATGGGTTTAGTATACACTTCCACTATTTATAATAATTCTTCTTTTTTCAATGGAAGCTAATAGTAATGTAATAATACTGAGAGGTAGGAATTTTTTGTGTTGTAGGTTTCCGACTATGAATCTGTCAGAATACAGGGTTACCCAATTGAACTGTTACCAACTTCACATCGATATATCTGGCAAATCGATAATGACAGCTATGTCAAAGTTGGCCTCATAACACTTCAGTATATTTTTTATAAGCCGTCAAAAACATTTGCATTTAAGTTTCGTATACATACAACAAAGTTATTCGCAATGGAATTTAAACGTAATAGTCTGATTATAGTGATACTGGTAGCATTCCCAAACGCTTCGTGGTGGGACGAAAAAAAAACAGCAACATCACCTGAAATGGTTCGGAAAGTGAAGGCTCGACTTAAACGAAATCCATGTCGTAGTGGTAATCAAATGACCAAAGAACTGAAAATATCCAATAGAAGCATGCAACGAATATTGAAAAAGAAGCTCAAGGTCAAGCCTTACAAGTTCCAAAAAGCACACAATCTTACACTAAAGCAAAAAAAAGTTCGGCATAAAAGAGCAACGAAGTTGTTACGCCTGCACGAAAGTGGCGAATTTCCGAACATAGTGTTCTATGATGACAAAAATTTTCCTATTAAGCAGTTCATAAACTCTTAAAATAATCCTGTTTACTTGACCGAACGCACCTACGAAAGTTTGAGCTTACGAACGGCCACCGAAATAATTTCCCATCTCAAGTAATGGTATGGGCAGCTGCAACCGCCGATGGACGCTCTCCAATCGTTTTTATTGATTCTGGTGTCAAAGGTAATGCAACTTATTATCGGGAAAATGTTTTAGAAGCTGCTTTAGATCCGTGGGCACACAAATCTTTCAGTTGTAGACCACGGACGTTTTAACAAGACTCGACACCGTCTCATAAAGCTAGTGTGAACCAAGAATGGTTAAAAAACCATGTTTCACACTTCATTTCATCCACATAATGGCTTTCGAATTCGCCAGACGCAAATCCGATGGACTATTCCATCTGATCCATTTTGGAGAGCAAAGTGAGGACTAAAAAATATGCCAGTATGGATGCGCTGAAGAAAGCAATTATACATGAATGGGCCAAAATAACGGAAGATCACATTCGTGCAGCATGCAACTCGTTTTTTTGATCGTTTGAAGGCCATATTTAAGGCAACAGGTGGCCACATCGAGCTAAAGTGAGTAATTCGAAAATATTGATTATTTTCACACATTTTTGTCATGTGAATCAATAAAAAATAATTTCACACAAAAAACTTATGGTCGTTTGAATAGATAACAGTTCAATTGCGTAACCCTGTATGTCCGAGCGAAACGAATGGATCTTGTAAAGTTTAGTTGATATTAAGGTGTCTTTACGCAACCGGATTATAAAGTGTATTGAAGTAAATGCTGGGCATTTTGAATTTTAGTAAAAAATAAAAAGCACTTAATTTATTATCCATCATACCTGATATAACATAATTATTACATATTTTCCATTTACAACCACGTTTTCAAACAATAAAATATAATAATCAGCTAAATGAAAACCCTTTAAACATGGTTCGTATGTCCTGCGGTATAATACAGTTTACTTCATAATAAATAAGTTATAGTAAGTTTCCAAGTTTGCAAAGTTTATAGAAGGGTATAAAGTACTTCTATATTAGTCTTGTCAAAGGAAAGAACTGCTATGTCGGAATATTGTGAGAACTCGGTTATGAGAGATAATTTATAGATTTTCCGAAGTTTCCGCCTGTGTAAAAATTAAACATTACTCTAGCGCCTAGAGATTTCCACGAAAATTGTTGAAACATGTTCAACCGAGTTAAAAAGTTTGTTAGAAGTTTGTAAAGAAAAATCTTTAAAAATTATATTTCATTGAAAAATTACAGAAAGCAACTTTTGTTCACGATTTTAATATAAATAGTCTAGGGTTTCGTGACCTATTAAGGTCCATGAGATTTTACAACTAATTTTTATGTATTTTGACTTGCAAAATCCAAATATTTAACATAATAATCCAAATTTTTAGCAGTATTTTGTTTAAGTTAACAATTTAACTCTTTAAATACTTGTACTAGAGCTCTGGAAAAGCGTAACCTTAATAAGAGACAGTTATGGAGATGTGTCATATTTTGAAACAACCTAGTGAGAGCGCCCACCAAAGTGGCGTGGCAAGTAGCACGCGTCTGCATGTTTCTTAAAATGTAACCAATGAAAACGAATGATTCAGCGCACACCAACATGCAGTGACGTCATTCATTCTAATCATTCGTTTTCATTGGTTACATTTAAGAAACATGCTAGACGCGTGTACTTGCTACGTGCTACTTGTACGCCAGTTTGGTGGGCGCTCTCCTTTATACATTAAATAAGAGAACTGATATCAGCAACTTAGCCAAATTTACATGCACTAATACTACAAATTGATTTTCCCGTATTCTACTTTTAATGATTGGTTTCTTCTTCAGTTTCTTTTATTATATCATAATTTTAGCATTATTTCGTAAATTAGACAAGTGTCCCAGTTTATACTCAGCCAGATAGTTATATGTTTTTTCTGACGTTTTTATACTTCATTTCGCAAGTTATGGTCATAACAGTCAAGAACCCTGAGCCGTGCCGTTGTTAATATAATATTTCAAAATTGACAAGTACATTTTTTGATAGATTTTATAATCAATCAATGTTAAAAGTTAAATTTAAAAATTAATATAAAATTATATAAAATTGGGAATCTTCCGGCGTTTTGTGATTCTGTGTTTTTATTGCTGATGTATTTATTAGATTAACGTTTGCCTTATTTTGATGTTTCTTCACATTAATACCATTTTAACGCTACAGATGTTTTAAAGGTAAGATTATTTTAGATCTTAGAATATTATAGATATAGATAT